ATTTTTCCATTATACCCCTTTTTTTATTTAACCCCATGTTTGTGTCATTGTTGACGTGCACAGTTAAAACGTACACTATAAATCTTATTCTTGATCTGATTAACTAATACACAAAAGTTGGTATTTATGTGAATAAAAGTGATAGTAAATATCAACAAGTCGGTGGCCTAGCGGTATTAACCTCTTATCTCTTAAAGGAAGGTCAGGGGAACAAGTCTCAGAAGAGACAAGTGTGTACCATGTCGTGGAAAGAAAATGTGTTCATGTTTTTTTATATCCACGTCAATATTTTGATCAACTTTATTTTTTCAAAATTACCAGAATTACGAGACTTTTCAAAATTATGAGACTTTTATTCCATTAAATAATAAATATAGATTATTACCACCATCCGTGTAATTCCTATATCAAATAACCTTAATAAGACAAAATTTGCTTTACTTGAGTTGGACCTCGGGTTAAGCTTGATCTGTTTAACAAAATCCAGACCCGACCCAAATTCATAACGAACCTTTCATAAAATCCAACCTGCTAATATGCATCCGTGTAAAAGAGGTCCCTCCTTACAATTAGTACTTAAAAAAGGAAAAGTGTGAATGTATTTAATATTAGAGAAGCTCGAGATTCTTATAATAAGATTAAAAAGGAATACATTTGATTAGAAATGTTACAAGTCAGTCATATGGGTAGGGTTGTTCCTGAGTAATTAATTAATTGGTTCCTCTAAACATGGTACTTACATTTGACCAATAAAAAATTCCATCCAAGGCGTAGCATTGACCAATAAAAAAATTGACCAGCACAAGATCTAGATACATAATCTTCTAATAAGTCAGCAGATGCCATCAATAATTTTAATTTAATTTAAACACGCCTCCAATCAGTGTCGGTTGGGTTCACATTCCCTTCAGGGTTGGACCCCACCAACCAAAACATGACAACTATGCTCCCATCACATTTTTGTATTAATTGGCACCTGTCAATTTCTCTTGATGCCCACACCGGACCGTCTGAGACCATTATTTGTGGACCATGGCTTCAAATTAGGTTTTTTTTTTGTTTTGTTGTTTTATTTTTTTTGGGGTAAATCTTGAAATTAGGTTTAATTTGAAAAATGGACAAGAATGAATAAATTTTCACCTGTCACCTAATTCATCAAGAATGACTAAGAATGTGAATTAGGTTCTATATGAAAAATGGACAAGAATAAATAAATTTTCTTCTGTCACCTAATTCATCAGAAATGACTGAGAACGTGAGCTCACATTACAATAACAAAAGCAGAAGAATAATATATTGAAATTTTCAAAATTTGGTAAGGAAAAAAAATAAAGGAGGAAGAAAAAGAGTTGCTTTTGAACCATAAAATTCTTTCCTCCCAAATGTAGACAGGAAAGAGGAAAATGACTTGTTTACTAAAATCCGATTACCTTCTATTGCTGTTTTTTTTTTTCTTTCTACTCAACCAAATAAAAGGGGAAAAAAAAAATTCAGTGGTAGAATAATCTTAGCCTAGTAATAATTTGGCCTAACTTGCTTAAGCGACATAATAGTTTGACGATGTTAAAATGATGGAATTGGTAAGTTGAGCAAAACATAGAAGACGAGGACAAATGTGTTGGTGGAATACTATTATGTCCTGCAATTTTCCGGTAAGGGACACAAACATAATCACATGGTCCTGACAATTGTAGCATTAGATACGTGCACGTATATAGGATTGAGAAATTTAGGCAAAACACCCATGTTTTTACATTTAGATACAATTTCAGAAAAATTCCAGCCAAATTCGAAAATTTACAAATATTTTCAAAAGGTTAGGTTATCTATGTTGGAATATTACTAGAATTAGCCTTTACAACTTGTGCTAAAATATCCGCCAATTCACTTGTTTGTGCTGTGGCTGAATTGCCTTAAATTAAAGCTTTCTTGTTTGTTTTGTTCGGGATTACATTGTCCCTCTTAATCACAACTTGACACTTAAGTTTCAATTAATCGTTACGATTAGTTGTAACCATCTTAGGCCATATAATAATTTATCATAGGAAATCAACAAAAATGGTATAAAAAAAAACATAGAGGTGCAGCAGCACTGACTAGTCAGTTGCTAAGAAAGGAAACCCAAATGATTGAATAAGGTTGCAAACTAAGTGGCTTGTTGGAAAAAGATGGCCGGAAGGGTTGAGAGGAAACAAAAAGCAAACCACTCAAGTGTGATGCATGCAAAGAATAAATGTGTTTGTTCTTGAGTTGTCTATGATGAGAGATTGATCCACTCAAATTTCTATAAAAGTGTTTTACATGCAAAGAATAAATCTGTCATCTACAAGGAACTTGCTGAAAAAGTTGGTTCTCTGATACAAAAATACATTAAAGAATTAAGATTATATTGTTTCATACCTCCAAATGCATCAATATATATGATCAACTCATCTATATCTTGCTTTTTCTTTTCCCTTTTCACATGATTTAAAGAAACAAAAATATAAGGCTGTTTCAATTCAAATATCAAGGCATGCAAACTGTGAGATCTTTCGAATAGTCTTGGAGGAAGTTGTTGGCACTTACAAGGGAATGTTTCCTACTTATGCAGATGAGTTTTAAAAATTGTAAGCACCATTAGGATGGTGCACAACTGACAATATCTAGTTATATCGTGTGGGCCGAATTCTGACAAATGGTATCCAAGTCAATCTCTAACTAAAATACGGGTGCCAAACTCATAAAGATCATCGCTGGAGGGAGAAGTTCCTGACACTTTTAAGGGTGATGCCTTTTCAAATTTATTTGTTTTATTAATAATGTAAGAAAACTTTAATTAGCTTTATTCTGATTGCATGTCTGGATAGACTCGAAGCACAAATTAGAAAGATGGAAATAGATTTTGTTCATGGAATTTGTATCAGATGTAGGACATTAGTATGTATTTGTTTGGAATAGTTTTCTACATGCATCTACTTATTAGTTCATTACTCGAGCTTCTATATATAGGTTATCGTCGATACCCTGATTTGCAGCCTGACCAAATCACCATATATGACCTATACACACACAAGCCAAATTGTTGAAAGGATATACCATCTTATATAATAAACACATTTTAGAAAAGAAAAAAAAAAATGACAAAGAGAAAGAAAATATACAAAAATTATAAATGTAAATGAACCAAATAAAGAACAAACTTAGTGCATGAGGCTCTCAGTATTGCAAAGTTTGAAGAGAGTTACATGTACACAATTCTGTCTCGGCATGCAGAGAAACTCCTGTTTCCTTGTACTTCCAAACCCATAATTTCCATATCACAGTAGCAAAACCTTACCTTAATTACCAGTACTACTTCAAAGCTCGACCTCAAATAAACCAAATAACTACTCAAGAAAAGAGCCACGTATGACTGTCATATTTCTCTTATACTGCAAGCTTTTGTAAAAGAGGAACAAAGTCATGTTTCAAACACATCCGAAAAATTAATCAATTACCTGGAAACATTTTGACTTCTTAAAAAACTTTAGAACACTATACACTCGTTGTATAAAGGATCATTACTAGGTAAATCCCACTCAATCAAGGTGTTGGGAGGAGTGAATTGGATACAGTTAATCTTAACTTTTGACATTAGTTATTCTCATCCGGTAAACTGTAAGAACTAAACCCTAGATCCATAATGACCAGCACCTGATCTTCAAGACTCTATGTCATGCTAGAACATTTTTTTTTTTTTTTTACCATATATGCATCAATAGGTTTTTGTAACTTTTTTTTTTTTTTTTCTCTCTGACAAATTAAGGGGAGGGGGACCAACTGTAAAACTGGGTAATGCCCAATAAGTTTTTGTAACTTAATATAAGTACATAGTTGTATAATAAATAGTTATAGCCTACAGTACGAGAGAACTTAATAAGATATTAAGGAGATTAAAAGATATGGGACCAGAGATCAATGAAAGAGAGTGGTCTATAAAGGAATTTCATGATATTTTCTATTGTGATTTATATTCAAATGGATTCTCAAGAAAAGATCTTTTGCTGGTTCTTTGCTGGTTCATTGTAGTACACAAAACACTGTACTATATAATAACATTCCAACACCACAATTAATGTAAATCATATTAACCATGTACATATATATGTTCATTTGAAATGCACTAGTAAGTGTCGGTGCAAAGGATTCATGCAAAGTCATTGTTAGTAGTACTATATGTCTTCACAGCACAAAAACACTGGACCCAAATCCAGATTCAACCCATGCAACTGGACCCTGTGAATCCTCGAGTGTCATTTATTTATCACTATGTCTACAATTCAATAAGATCATCACCCCATTAATTATGACGACGAACTGAACCCGGCCTATGATGTGAGTGTCCACCACCTTAATGTCCGTATTCCATGAAGTCATGCAAACATAATTTTGCTTCAATTTCCGGGGAAAAAAATTGCTCGGGAAAAAAATTGCTACGTACATCCATATATATATGTGTGTGTGTGTACGTGTGTGTGTAAACATGTGGAACCTCTGAAACTAGTTCTTCATTTGCATATAGAGAACTTAATTCCTTGGACTAATTAAACGTTTATCAAAGAACACAAAATACAAACAACAATATTATGTAATTCACATTTGAGATAGATCTAGAATAAAGTTATATATGTAAAAACATACGCGCCACTGTAAACCAAAATTATGACATCTACATAATATGATCCCTAAACTTAATTCCTAGGTCTGTCTAAATATATTAAGACCAACCTCCTACATTGGGTTCATTAATCTCTATTAATTTGCCTGAGCATTATATATATATATATATATATATCCACATATTGATCTAGTTTTATGGATTATCCATTATTAGACATGTAACTTGTGCTCTTACCAACCACATCTTTATGCTTTGTTCAAGAGTTTGTAAAGATAAATGTGTTGATATTCAAAAGAACTTAGCAACAACATAACAAGCTAGTGAGAGAAATGGAAATAAAAGGAAGCCTGCCTTGATGTGCAGAAAAGAAACACCTAACTAGAAAATTTTATAACTTTAACAATTAATAAAATTAAGAAAACATAAAGAAATTTCCATGAGAGATCAAAGACAAACCTCTCAAAGCATTCCTCTCTATCTTCTCGATCCAAAACAAGAAAAACAAAAGAAAGAGCTAGCTAGCTACATCTCTTCTCTTCTAAGCTTGTTTAGAAGTGCTGTTATAAGAGCATCCCTTTTTTCAGCTCTAGCTTCTTCTCTCATCCTCCTTTGCTCTTCCCTCTCTCTCCACCTCCTATCCATCATTGCTCTCTCATTTTCCAAGGCCTCCATCGTCTGCCTCCATTCCATCTCCTTCATCCTCCTCTCCTCCTCTCTCGCCTCGTATGTTTTCATCCATTGCATCTCCATTTGCATCTGTTGCTTCATGAAATCATCCAAAACCTCTCTCAAACTATTGATATTCCCACTAGTACCACTACTACTACCAGGGTTCACAGTACTGCTCTTACCCTTTCTTCTCTTCTTAGCAGTACTGCTTCTCTTCTCCCCGTCGCTGTCTTCGTTGTCATCCTCATCCTCGGATGACAGCTGAGCCGCCTTCTTCTTCGATCCGCTGCCTCCGCTTTCAGCTTCCAACCATAGCATTCTCTGCATCCTTGCAGTAAATATGGTTTGCAGGTCATTGTAAAATGGAAACTGTTGGCGCATACCTTCTTGCTCCATTGTTTCACATCCCTAATTAATTAAAAATCACCAATTTAAGTGAGAAACAAAAACCATATATAGATCAATAATAGTACAAGATATATATATATATATATATACATATGAAATGAGCATGCAAAAACTACATACACATGTAGACAGAGATCGAACCGCTAGCAGTGTTTTAGAAGGATTATATAGTTAAAAATATTGGATTAAACCCTTTTGCATACATGCACACACTGACACACACAGAGAGTAACCCCATAATAATTATTAATATAGATCGATGAGTAATACTTTAAGAAATGAAATGAAGAAAAGCTATATATATCGTGTATGTGTGTGTAGATATATATATAGAGAGAGAGAGAGAAGGAGAGCAGCTAGGAGTCCTTGAGAGGGATTGATGTAATATTATTTTGTGTTAGCTAGTTATAGATACGTAGATTCAGTTTTAGCACTTGTTGAGACTCATTTTGTTTTCTGGATCTCTTTTAAATAGAGTGAACTTTTCAAGATGAAACTTACTGTGATACCAGTTATATAAATTAAATTTATATGTAAATATATATGTGTGTGTGTGTATAAAAAGAAAGAGAAACTAGCAGAGTTTGTTTTTTTTTTTTTTTTTTGGTAAAAAACTAGCAGAGTCTTCAAGAAGGATTGGTTAAAGATTCTGTTGGATTAGCTATTTTTACATATATATGTGTGTCATATACATAAAGAGACCAAAGTAAGATAGATGATTAATAACGTTTCAAGTACGGAAATGAAGAAAAAATTATATATGTGTATATATGTGTGTGTATATAGATTGAGAAAGAGAGCAACAAATAGTCTTTATAGAAGAGGAATGGATCAAAGATCTAATTTCTTGTAGTAACTATGTATATTATGTGTGTCTTATATATATAAGACACAAACACACACATACATACATACATACATGTATATATATATATATATACCTTATATCGCGTGACGAGGTTCTTCCACTTGCACTTGCACTGTTCTGCGCTGCGATTATAACCGTTTTCCTTCATCTTTGTTGCAATCACTTCCCACAGAAGCTTGTTTCGTTTGGTCTCCATGAAAGCTTGATCGAGCTCGGCCCGACTCATCAAGAAGTCCTTTGTTTCTTGAATACTCCATTGAGGAAACCTGTCACCCGCTGTATCTTGAAAATTAACAGTACCACTCATAGGATGAAGATGATGATGTTGATGATGCCCCTCCATATAGATATATATATATATATCTTTATTTGCAGCGGAAGGAATTAAGATATATATCTAGATAGATAGATGAATGGAATGGAAAGAAAGAAAAGATGGGTAGAGAGAGGAGATTTATATGAAGGTGTGAATGGAAGGTGTGAATAGATCGTCAAAGGGGCTGAGAACGATTTCTTCTTTGCTTAAGCTTTTTTGTTGTGTGTCAAAGGGAGCCTTTTTATTGTTTGTTCAGATTTCAGGAAAACGATACCAAATTAAACAACTTTTCTTTCCCATCTCTCTTTTCTTTCTCTAAACAGTCCCCTCCCTCATCAAGTCTCATCTCTCTACGCGGAAACTCACGTACACCCCTCTCTCTCTCTCATCCCCAAACCAAATGCCTCTCTCTCTCTCTCTATATATATATATATATATTAATAATATATATGTAAACAAAGTTTACATCCACATTTGTTCCCATTGCGTTTCAGTGTCGTCATGCTTACGACCAAGTTGGCAGTGGACTTTATTCTATATGACCAGTTGTAGAATTTTTCTTTCTGTCTGCGCGTGTAGTAGATATTATGTAAGGACTTTTTTGACATAAGCATAACCTACGGAGGTGATGATAAAAATATAAATTTAATTTTGAAAATCATTAATTTATATTAATTAAATAATGTCAAATATTAGATTTTTAATTGATCTCTCCTTTCTAATTACCATATTAATTTAATAGACCGGAGAAATATATAACATTGATAAAAAAATGCATCCATCATTCGTTATCAGTTCCTCTTACATTAGATTTTTTTTTTCACCTTCAATATTAGAAATGTTTATTTTTTATTTTTTTATTTACCTGGCAAACAAATAATATATTAACTCAAATAAGAGTATTACAATCACTTGCAGCTAACATGACAATTACCAACCTTTCGAAAAAAGGAAAAAAAAAAAAAAAAGAGAGAGTTTTTTTTAATGTAAAAATAAAGATAAATTGCAAAATACTTTCTTAATTATCTTAAAAATAAGGATAAATGGAATCAATATCGATTAAAAATGTCATTTTCTACTTAATTTTGATCTTGTCATTGATTATAGATCAACCACATAAGTTGATTGAAACTTATCAATATATATATTTATGAGAATATATATATTTATAAGGAGTTCACATGTTGTTTTATGTGTTTTTTTAAAAAAATTATTTAATTAAATAATATATATATTTAAAGTGAATGTTTTCAGACTTGATCACACACCGTCACAAATAAAGACAAATTTGACAAAATGCTAAACATGCATGATATACACACGTATGACTACATAAACCGTGTATAGGGGGTGACAAACCAAAGGCTTCGAGATTATGGCGCGGAGTCTGTAATTAATTTATAATTTAAATCTTTAAATTTTGCAATCTTTGTATGGATTTCGAAAATCTGAGGAAAAGATGTGATATTGTCTTTTTAATGTGGTATTTTGTACTTGTGGGCTATTCATTCAATTATTTTAGTAATAAATCAAATCTACGCGGTTTTATCTGCTGTCCCACGTGTGGACAGCCGTACACGTGGCGTGCATGCAGGACTCGCGAAAGCGTTTTTGAGTTGAGTGTTGGACCCCACTCTACATTGGTTCACACCTAATGACTTGTTGTATTTGTTGCCCAGGTTATTTGACCCTGTAATGCGTTTCTCTGTTGGCTTGCCGGAGCAGCAATCAGAATCTGACATTTCACGTGGACGGAGGTCGTGGCATATTATTATAGTCAACAATAATTATTAGATCCACCCTTTTATTAAATCATCATCTTCACTTTACTTTTATCCTATATTAACTCCTTTATTAAATAATTAAAAATATTATACAAAACTTGACATGAGTATCGCAGTCGGCGGCTAAACATTCACATGTGTATCCGTATTGGAGTCCTTCTTTTCTTAATTTAACCAAATAAATAAATAAAATAAAATAAAAAATAAAACTCGACATTATTACTTAATAAATTAAAATAATTATTAAATCTATTCGTATATTGAATCATCGTAAAAATAGTCATCTTTATCTTTATTGTATATTATCCCGTCTATTAAATGATTAAAAAAATTAAATAAAGTTCGACTTAACTACTTAATAAATTAAAATAATTATTAGATGGATTCACCCATTTATTAAATCATAGTTATTTTTACATTTATCCTATATTCATTTAATTTATTAAATCATCGTCATCTTTACCATTATTCTATATTAACTCCAAATAACTCGTTTATTAAATAAAATTTGACCTAATTACTTAATAATAGGTTGTTTCAAAGAATGGTTTTTTTTCAAATAATCAAGTCTTGAATTCCATCCAAAAATTAGTCCCGGTAAAATGTTTCTTCTCCTCCTTCGCAAATGATCGATGCTCTGAACTTTCCATGATTCAGGAATAGGATTTGTTGTTGGTTTTGTCGATTTGAGGCGTAGTTCCTTGAGCTAGCTTTTGTACATTCCTTCTTCCTTTTGAATAAATGTACTTTATCCTCAGAAAAAAAAAAAAAAAAAATATATATATATATATATATATATATATATATAGCTCTTTTTTTTCACAGTCGGCTATCAAGAGTCGGGATTTAAAAAAAAAAAAATTATATATTATATATACAAGTACAAGTTAAATTTAAACGAGTTGAACATCAAATATTTATAAATAAGTGATTGATTAAGATTTTAAGTAAGATTAAAAATTGAGTATTGCACGTCTAAAATACAATTCAAGTTAGCTCCTAAGCTATAGAACATTTTCCATTAAAGTTTTATTATATGTTATTACCATCTGTATTCATGAAAAAAAATTTAAATTTAATGAAAAATAAATAAATTTAATGCATTATTTTGTAAGTATGAGGGTATTTTATTTTTTAAAATTAAAAAAAATAAAATAAAAAATAAAAATAAAAATAAAAAAAAAAAAAATTGTATGCATCTGGGTTAATAAGTCAAATGAACTGAACCTTTGGTTCAAATATAGATATTATCCAAACTTCATTCATTAAAGTTTGACAGGTTGTACCTATTAGTTGTACTTGTATAGTTGTATAGATTCTAAACTACGTGTCCATTCATTCACACGGCAAATTGACAAAGCAATAAAAATGAAATTGTGTTTAACCTAATTAAATGCGACCTTGAATGGACTTCCACAAATTTTCTATAAATTGGGTCCAGAAAACGTTTTGATTGACCTGACCAGTTTGTGGAAGTCATTGAGAGACCACCCACCAAGGTTAAAAAAACAAAAGCGAATTGGGGTTTTTGTTGAGGTCTCTCAGGTGGTGTCTTGATTGACCCACTTTCTTTATTTTAATTTTAACCCTCGGAGGAAGTTGTAAATAGAAGAGGACAATTCTTAACACCGCCAAGGAAGCACAGGCTGTTACCGACATGAGAGTTCAATGAGTGGATTTTAGTCATTCGACACAAACAAAAAAACCAATACCTTCGATTCTCATTGTTTAGGTCCACTTCCAAATGATGGATAGAGTGTATTAGACATGGTAACAGCTGTATGTAATGGAAGCCCACTTTCATCTTGGTGCCAGATCAATTCATTTTCACACCCATATACATATATATATATATATATATATATATATATACATATGTATATATATAATGTTACTTGATAAATTAGACCTAAAACACTAATAGCAATATTATTCTTGTGTTTGAGATTGAATTGGTAAATGGGACTCATCAAAATTTTGTGGTGAAAATTGATTCACTAGATGAGACTCACTAATAATAGTCAACTTTCATTAAGTGATCATGTAGTCTCCATAAAATTAGGCGTTATGTTTTTAGTCAATACCAAAATAACCATTTTGTTGTAGAAGTATTTTGGATAGAAATTGAAATCATGTTTGGTAACAAAAATTTGTTTTAAAAAATTCGATCCACTATAATACTAAAACATTCAACATTAGACATGGTAACAGCTATAATTAAAGCCCACTTTCATCTTGGTGCCAGATCAATTCATTTTCGCACCCAAAACACTAGTACTAATATATGCTACCCTTGTGTTTGAGATTGAATTGATAGATGAAAATTATCAAAATTTTGTGGTGAAGATTGAATCACTAGATGAGATTCACTAATAATAGTCAACTCTCATCAAGTGTTGATGTAATCTCCGAAGTGCAAGACCTCTTCCTAGAGAGGATCTAAAATCCCACTTGAACCATGTCAAAATTAGAGGGTCTGTTTGACGTGCAATATGTTTTAGACGTTATATTTTTGGTCAATACCAAAACAATCATTTTGTTGTAGGAGTGTTTTGGGTAGAAATCAGAATCATGTTTAGTAATGAAAATTTGGGCCAAACAATCTGATATGTTATGAACTATTTCAAACTAATATCAGGAGTCTCAAACATGATATAAACCCAAATTTAAAGACCAATATCAAAAAAATAATATCATAACACATTCCAAACCAACACTAAAACATTCAACTAGTGTTTTGAGTCTCCTTATCCGCTCAAACATCATTTTTCTAATGGATGCTATATTTTTCGAATTGTTATCATTAGCCACCTTGTCAAGTTAATATGCATTTGAGTATTCAGAGGTAAGGTTGGAACTTGGCTCTCTTAAATTTAATGCTTCTAGTCAAGTTAATGCACGAAATTATTTGGGTTTTAGTCATTTAAACAAAAATAAATTAATAAAAAGAAGAGAGAGATTGAGCCTGAATTGGACGTGTTAATGAACTCTATATATATATATATGTTTAGATTTGAATTATGAGTCGACTTGAGAAGAAGAAGAAGTCAAAAAGTTCAAATAAAATAAAATAAAATGAGATTGAGCCATTTGCTTGCTTGACCCACTTCAGTTCTTGACCCACTTTAGTTCTTTAACCCTTCAATGAAGTCGTCAACCCACTTGTGATGGACACCGAGTCATTTGACGCAAGTTTTGGTTTGGAGTTTGATTAATTATTGAGCCACTTTCAATTATGGATTGACATAGTAGCAGCTACAATTAAACTCCACTATATATATATATATATATATATATAATAATAACTTATTTTCTAACTTAGATATAGGTATTAAAGAAGGTGCTCTATTTTTTCAAATTCGACTCCCTACTCAAGTTAATACCTATTCTAATGGTTCAAAGGTGTGGTTAGAACTTAGCTCTCTTATTTATGTTTAATATTGTTAAACCAATGTCAAATTAAGGGTTAAATAGCTTTTTGATTTTGAAGAAGCTAGCTTCTTCTTGTGTGCAAGTGTGTGTGTCTGAGTGAGTGAGTGTGTGTGTGTGTGTGTGTGAGGGAGAATTATATTAGCAACAAGACCATCTTCAATGAAT